CCACCCTCCTTCTCGTGTAATGGGAATGGAAGGGTAGAGCAATCACTATGGGGTCACAGCCTGCATCATCTGATGGGCAGCACGAGAGGCCACAAAATAAGGTTAAAGTGCGGAGCCCAGCATTATTTTCCCTATCCCCCCCCCCCCCCAGGTCTGATGAGGTCCCTGATATTACCATAATATAGCACAGTGATGAACACCAGTAGGCATCCAAATGTTGCTGAACTGCTACTTTCCTTAATCCTGACAGCCAATAGAGAGGAAYGCTAGGAACTGCAGCACAGAAACATCTGAAAGGCTATAGCTGCCCACCTCTAAAATAATTCATTTGACATCAGTAAGACTTATAATTTGTGAACTGTTGCATTAGGTTTTTATTCCAAGGTAATTGGAAGAAAATACTCTAAGGGCACTAGATCCTGTCTGATCTTGGATGGTAAGCAGGACCAGCCCTGGCTGGCACTTGGATAAGAGATTGCCACCAAATATTAAATGCTGTAGGCTATATTTCAGAGGAAGGAACTGGCAAAGCCACCTCTGAATATCCCTTGCCTAAGGAAACCCTATGAAAAATTCATAAGGCGACAGGTGACTTGAAGACACATACAAATACAACTGTGACTCACATTCTCATATGTCAGCATGATTGCATTGTTACTGCACTATAACTGCAATATGTATATAAAAATGTTTTGCCTTTCATCATCTCTTTGATAGTCTTGCGCTGGAAGGTGATTTTGAAAGTTATTAAATGCATACATATATAATTTATATTTATATCTTCTGAAGGTCTTCCCTGCCAGTCATCACTGGGGCTCCTGTGGGAGTGGAAGAAATGACATAGGGTAACCAATAAACAAAAAGAAAAAAGAAAACTTACAAGAAACTCAATAAAATCACTAAACCGTAAAACCATGGCTACAAAAAGTAATAACATAACTCACAGCAACATCCAACAAGCTTGTCTGCCAAATCTTCTGGCTCTTCTGGCATATGAGTCATTCTCAAAAAAAAAGCTGTCTTCTACTCCCATGTTGATTTCTGGAGCACAACTCTGTGCTACCATGTAAAGCTTTCTTTATCTACCCCACAATGCACATTATCCAGCCTCTGTCCTGTTTATTGTCTTAGCTAAATCTTGTTTTGTCCTCTTGGTAGGACTATACCACTTTTGTGTTCTTTCTCTTAAGGCTGTTCACAGGTGCATGTGTCTATCATTTGATAATATCAGACAGAGACTTCAATGTGGGGATCACAGATTAAACACTACAGGCTTAATTTTTTTTCACCTCGATAAAATCTTGAATGTCATATACATGTCAATGGAGTTTAGTTAAGTAATATTTGTGATGACAAACCAAGCTATCTATATTCATATGGGAATTGGCCTTATGTAGCTAGATCTTAACATCTGTTTTTCACAACATACATCTACATGTAAAGTGCACGGGTTTTGTTCATGGTTTTTCCTTTCATGAGTTTTATATTTCTCAACTTCATGACTCATTACTCCTAAGCCCCCAGAAGGAAGACACAAAACAAATAAAATGAGTCTCAACTTTATTAAACAGACAGCTGATATAAATAAAGAGCACCAATTCAATCCACCACTTCCTTTGCTATTGAAGCTATTGCCAACAAACCAAAAGTGGGGAAATCATCTGCAAGACAACTCCGACGGACATCTCTTCCCTGGCTCCAATCATTGGATGAGCTGTGGAAGTTGTCTTACTGTCCACAGCTATGAGAAGAGGAGGCTC